CAAGTTCATGAACCAACTGCATTAAGCCCACGGACTTGAGTTCAAGAATTCCTTTTGTAGGGCCGGCCCCGTGGCTTAGCGGTTAAGTGCTAGCGCTCCGCTGCTGGAGGCCCGGGTTCGGATCTCGGGTGCGCACCGCTGCTGGAGGCCCGGGTTCGGATCTCGGGCGCGCACCGACACACCGCTTCTCCGGCCATGCTGAGGCCACGTCCCACATGCAACAACTAGAAGGATGTGCAGCTATGACATACAACTATCTACTGGGGCTTTGGGGGAAAAAAAAAAAATAAAAAAAAATTCCTTTTGTAAATGAAGCCTTCTCCTGCTGCCACCAGACTGAATCAATCACTCTGGGACCCAGCAACACTTTGTTTAAATTACCACCTTTCAGAAAGCCTAGCCTGTTAAGATCTCTAAATCATCAAGGGAATCAGGCCTCCTTCCTTTATGCATTTCTCCATCTTGCACGGGTCTGGCACATTGGCCGTACGTAAGAAAGTCCATCAACAGCATGTGATGCACAGAGATGAACAGAACTCTTCGAACCAACTCAGAGTTGGTCAGCAGGTAATACAAAGACACTGACCCTGAGCTTTTCCCCTCCTTGCCTGACGTGTTTTCTCTTGAGATCCAAGCCACAGGGCGAGTTCAGACAAACATACACACACTTGCGATGTCCACTCTAAGATACTCCCTGGATTGTCTGGCTTCAGGGGCTCAAGTCTCCGGCTCTCCTCTAACCATCTGTCTCAGACCTTTGCACGGCCCGCTCTGACGAGCACCTCTCCGTCTCACACTGTTCGTGCACTGCCCTGCACTAGGACTGCTCTCTGAAGCAAGTGTGGAAGACTGGGCAACACGCTGACCTCCTACACGGCGGACAAAGAGGAAGCACAGAGCAGAGGCCAGATCTGTAAGAAGCCCTCCACACCAACCATTTAAACTCAGCTCTTCATGGTCCTCCAGGACTGCGCTGTGCAAATCTCAGCTTAAAAATCACCATGAGAGACTGTTAAAACAGACTGCTGGACCCTGCCTCGAAGATTCTGATTCCACTACCTCTGCAGCGAGGCCCGAGAATCTGCAGTTCTAACAAGTTTCCAGGGGATGCTGATACGGCTGCTCCAGGGACCACACCTAAGTAGCACACGCTAAAATACTCTAGCTTCCTCTGTCTGATTTTCAGGGTTCCAGGGGCTTCTAAGTTGTACAAAATTTCCTTGTGGTCCCTCCTGTACCCCTGAGCTCTCAAAGTTAGGACTGCCTCAAGATTTAGTCCATGAAGTCCTACCCTCTCTACTCATTCACTCCCCTGATGAACACATCCAGCCTTGTGGCTTCAAATAGCACCTCTAGGCTGAGGATTTAACGCCAACGTGACATCGCCACTTGGATGTCCAGAAGGCATCTCAAACTTAACCAAACCAAACTCAAAAAAAAACTTAACCCAAAACCAAACACCAGATTTGCCTCTAGAGGTCCTTCTCTTCTTTCAAATGGGCAGACCACATATTTTGGAGCAATCCTTGATGTTTCTTTTTCATACTCCATATCCAATCATCAGCAAAACCCTTCAAATTATAGCCAGAATCAGATCTATTCTTACCGCCACTGTCCAAACCACCATCATCGCTTACCTGAAGGACTGCAACAGCCTCCTAACTGGTCTCTCTGCTTCTACTCCTGTCCCCCTACAGTCTATTTCCTACACGGCAGCCAGAGTGATCTTTTTAAAACATAAATAAAATCATGTCACTCTTCTGGCCAAAACCTACACTTCACTCAAAATCTTCAATGAAGTCTTTTTGATGGCCAAAAGACCTTACACTATCTGGCCTCCCAATACGCAATTTCCTACTTATCTTTCCTCTTCCTCGTTCTGCTCTCTGGCCTCCTTTCTGTTCTTCAAACAGACCAGTCACGCACCCACCTCAAGGTCTTTGCTGCTGTTCCCTTTCCCCAGATGTCCACAGGCCCCTCACTTCCTTCGGGTCCCCACTCAAGCGCCTCCTTCTCAGTGAAATCATTGTCCTGACCATCCTACTTAAAATTGCAAGTCCCACCACCAGCACTCCCAGAGCCCCTTCCCTGCTTCATTTTTCTCGGTGAAATTATCATCTAACCTCTCGTCTACTTTTCTTGTTTCCTGTCTTTCTGCGCCCACCAGAACATGAGCTTGGGGAGGGCTGGGACTGTGGCCCGCTCCTGGCACAAGGCAGGTGCTCAATAAATACTTAAACGGGAGAATGGGACTAACCTGAACTCAGCCTGCTGATTCCTGGATCCTGGGTCCTTTGATCCCAGCTACAGAGCAGAACGGATTTCGTTCCCCAGTTGGTTCGCTTAGTAAATTACATGCTAAAGACCACGCTGGGTGATCACGATGGTGATCAGGGCAGACGAGGACTCTGCACTCAAGCAGCTGACATTCCAGCTGGGAAGACAGCACACATTTACTGAAACTCTGCTATATGTCAGGTGCTTAGGTTATAAAGAAAGACACAGCCCTTGACCGTGTGGAGCTCACACTGAAGGGAGAGAGGAGGACAGAAATAATTGGCGACAAAGGCAGTGGGATAAAGAGGTCACAGGAATCAGAGACATTGCAAAGGTAGAAATAACAGGACTAGATGAATAATTACACGTGGGGATGAAAAGAAGGAGAAATCAAACACGAGTCTGGGGTTGAAGTTTGAGGAAAACAGGTAAATTATGACATTTTAATCCAGATAGCAAAAAGAGGAGCAAGGTTTTGGAAGCTGTAGTTTTTGTCTCTCTCTTAATATTGGAGCTGTCAAACTCCAATATTTGTGGGTTCAAATTCTGGGTCAGCCACTTGGTAGTTGCATTGACACCAAAGAGTGACAAACTTCCACAAGAGTCTGTTCTTGCTTCTGTTAAATGAAGATTATACTTCTTGCAGAGTTGAGTGAATTAAGGCTTTCTCTCTCACACACATCCACATGCACAGCTATCTGAACAAAGCTCAGAGCCCAGTAACCAGCCGATAGCAAATCCCTAATAAACTATTATCAATGCTGTTATTCATTCATCCCAGCACTAACCCAGAAGTACAGGGGTTCGTTCATTAACAAACATACATTCAGTGTCTAACCACATCTTGGACCCTAGAACACACACCGGGATACAGCAGTGAGTAAGATGGACAAGCCACTCGCTCTTACGGTGGTTGCATTCTGGTGGGAAAACGAGTCTACGAATAGGTGATCTTTGATTACAAAAAGGGAAATGAAGAAAATAAAACAAATGGGATGGATTCTTGTCTACCCACCAGAATAGAGGTTCTCTTGTACAGAACATAGGTGGCAGGTGTGGGACGGGCACCATGAAATCATGCTGTCATGGACAGTCTCTAAGACGTGTGTGAAAATAAATCACCTGTGCAAAGGTCTGGGCTGACAAGAGCACAGAGCGAAGTGCAGGTGCAAGGGCTCTGACTCGTGGTTACAATAGCTCCTGACCAAGGATGCTTGCTAAGTTTCTTAACCTTTCTAAGCCTCAGCATTCTCATCTGTAACATGGGACTAATAATATCGAACTCACAAAGTTACTGAGCAAATTAAATATAAATAGATTTGCTGATTCAAATATTTATTGACAGGCAGCTATCTGCCAGGGACTGTTCCAGGCACCAGGGATACAGCAATGAAAGCCCTCAACATAATAACCGGTATATAATAAGCACTTAATTAATGCATACCGTTACAGTTACTATAATTATGTCTTCCCTGGACCTAGCACAGCCCTGAAACAGTATAAGCCTGGGTGATCTATTGACCAAATGAAGCACTACTATGAGCCAGGGAGAGAATACGTGAAATACAGACATCCGGAAATTCCTCAGCCTTAGAAGAAACCCATTTCTGGGAGAAGGCAGCTATGGCTGAAGGGCCTGAATGGGCATTTGCCAAAACCAGAGGATGAAGAATAAGGCTAGGA